CCAAGAGCCTGATAGTGTTTTCATATCCAATATTTATCAGTTCAGCGTTGGGGAAAAAGGTTTTACATCACGTATGAAGTATGTTATATGATATGAACTATGTTGTGTGCGCTGCACTTCCTCTGAAAAGATGAGTATACATTCAAATGATAGCTGCACACCTCGATTTAACAAATGCGAGGTATTGGAGCCAGGTTGCTTGCCTGGGGGGAGAGGGGGGTTCAGAAAGCGGCAGATCTCTGCTTGGTGCCAGTGGATTCCGTTGCTGTTTCTTCATTTCTGTGTCTTTACGTCACTCCCTGTGAGGATGAGTCACTTCACGCTGCTGGGTGACATGTTCCTGATCTGCATATTTGCCACACAGGGTTGTTGCGGGGATTAACTAAGTGCCTACTGCATGTTGCCGGGCACCAATAGTGTCAGTCGTTGCGGAGGGCACGGTGTGGGCACACAGAGGGAGGTGGCACTGGTCAGCCTGGTGACTGCGAGACGCAGGGAAGAAATGGTGGCACGGACGGAGGTGTGAACTGAAAAGGAGGGAGCGGGGCGCTTCCACGTGGCGGACACAGGAGAGGGGCACGGAGGGGTGGGAGGCGCGGGCACGGGAGCTGGTGCTGCAGACTCTGCTCCGGAAGCGGCGGTGGTGCCAAGCAGGCCCTGGCCTCTCCAGGCAGTGGCCCTCTCTGGCTGGCACCAGGTGGTCGGCTGGAGGGGAGGACGGGCGCTGTGTCCGCCCGGCTGCGGAGGCTGCCAAGGGCTCAGCTACTGTGCTTGGATTGCTTTAACGTTGCTTCCTTTTTGTAATGAAATGGATGGAATGTCTGTTATTCTCTGAAATCATAGCAACAGTGAAATTCACTTCTAGAAGGCTTTTTCATGTTTCCCCTTGGCCGGGCTTTCATTTGCCACAGTCTCTCGAGAAACGCTTGCCTGCTGCATCGCAGGGGAGGCGAGACCCACACCACAGCTGCGTGGGGAAGAGAAAGGGTGAGAAATGGAAGCCAAGCTTCTGCCCCGCTTAGACTCCTAAGACTTCTTAGACACTCCCGTTTACAAAATGGAGAAAACACCTCCTAGACTCGCGAGAGCGCTATGAAAATCTTTAAGCACAAAACCGAAGCCAGTGAAAGGTGTCATGATTAAATAGATGTCGAAGGATGTCATGAAGTGGCATTCTGTGTCCAAGAGAAACCTCTACGTTCTATTAGGCCCCTCTTCATCTAGGCCTGCTGCCTGTACATTTTCTTCACATAATTTAGATAATAGCATCTTCCTTTCTTCTTCACAGAGTCTTTTGTCTTGGGGGTAAAGTTTTAAAACTCCCGAGACCTTATTTTACACATTGAAAGTAATTTTTAAAATTGCAAAAATAATTTTACTCCTTGCTTTTAATGAGATAATAACATAATCAGTGAGATAAGATACAAATACGATGAATTACACACCATGTAGGCCTGGTAAAGAGCCTAGCAAAAGAAAATACTGCTGAAGTTCAGAGGAGAGGGAGATTGCAACTAGCTGCTAGGAACAGATAAATGGACTGGCAATTATCTGAGGACAATTGTTGCTTATATGTGTGATTGTATTAAGGGAATAACAGGTTACTCCGTTTGGCCTCAGCAGAGAACACAAGAAACCAAATAAAGCAAAATAAGAAATCCTATCACAACCCGATACTGGCATACTAATATGACAAAAGTAAAACAACTCGACGCGGTTATTATGCTCGTTTGAGGACTAATGGGGAAAAAGTATCTCATTTAAGGTCGCAAAGTGAGTGGTAGCAGAGGAAATCAGAACTCAGGGATCCTGACGGCAATCCCAGCTCTTGAGTATTTTACAAAATCAAGCATTTCTACCTGTAAAATGAGCCCAGAGTAGCCAAGGTGGACTTGTTACATCAAAGTTAATATTTCCGTACAATAAACCACACAGCCTGTTTGCTAAGGAGTAATGCCATTATGCAATTAGTATAAATCCGAATGAAAATGACGATGATGATTATCTGTTAAAATTACACAGGGGAAATTATAGCATTTTAGATTCTCAGATTTCACTTCTAAAAGTCTTTAGGCCTGCAAAGATAAAGAAGTACCTATCTTTTTATTCAAGACATAAATAAAAAACAGAAAGGAGAGAAACGATCAGTGATTTGATGACAATACAGATTTGCTTTAGAATTTACTATACAGGAAAAATCTTTGTAATTTTTTTCTGGCAAAATAAATTGTATTTAATTAAAAATATGCTAGCAAATGCATGCACCTAGAGTGGCTGAATGATTACAATCTGAAAACAAAAGTACCATTCCGCAATAGTCTATTACATATCTGATGGAAGTTCAAAATTGAAGTAGCCTCAAAGTATTCTTTACACTGTGTAATTGGGTTTCTTTTCAGTTACAATATTCACGTCAATTACACTTTAACTTGCACATGCTGGATATAGTATGATAGGGAATCCTGGGTCAAAATGAAGCAGCTGATTCTTTAATATCTCATTGGGCTAATGGGGTTGGGCCTGTCCTATGAAAGGTTGATTAATTAAGAAAGGGGCGACATAAATTATGGTGCAATTTCAACAAACCCAAGCCAATCTGACATGCCCATGCTGAAAAGAAAACCATTATTTCACACAATACTTTTTAAAGAGTGAATCATTTTACCAAGTTGTATTAGCATTTTAAAACTTATATTTCATACCAGACATACTTTGTGTGAAATCAAGGACTATTGCCTGTATAGGGAAGCATTTAATAATTTATTTTTCTTTCTTTTATTTCACCAAATGAATCCCTGTCAAAGAATTTCTCTTCAAAAGATAGTGAGAACACGTGTTTAATTTTGGAAAGCTCTGATGTTAGTGGTTCTACATAGAGTGGGTGCATTTTCCTTGCATGATCTCTGTACTGAGAACTACACGTGGACTGAACTATCACTTCTGCATTTTTTTGAAACTTGTCACCCACGTTGAATAGAGGATCACTCTACAGAGCCCCATTACTAACCTCTGGGTCTTCTTTCGGTCACTAGGTTTCTGTGAGGCAATACTCTATTTTGGTAAATATATATAGCCCACCTACCAGTAAGGCAAAGTAACCTAGCAGAAATAAAGTCATGTAAGTTTATTAAATGGCTACCTTGGAAGAGCTGAATATTTATGCTACATATAGTGACTTTTAGAGAACAGGGAATTCTGCCACAATTTTTGTCATTGTCAATGTGGACCCAAACATGATTTAGGTGAAGTATTCAAAAGGTTACATTTTCCCACACTTACCCCCTTCAAACACATTTAAGCTTTCTCCTGTTAAAAATGACAGAAGAAAATGCTTTGATCCTCATCACATTTTTGTTCTTTACTGATAAAGGTACATAGTATGTCAATGGTAGCTAGCAGCTTATTGAATAAAGTCTATGAAGAAAAAAATGCAAAACTCAGTTTATTCCCTGAGATAGTCTTGGAGCTCTTTCAGGAGTTTCCAGTGGCACTAACTGTCTCCCAGATTTCAAGGATTAGAGAAAAAAAAAAAAAACAAAAAAAACAAAAAAAAACACCTCACTCTAAAAGTAAATGCCCAAATGCACCCACCCTCGACCAAGCTCCCTCCTCATTGATGAGCCTGCTGTTTTCAGGCTGTGTCATGTCCCCTGTGGATTTATGGTCATGCAGTAGGAAAAACAGGGATGTGTTTTTAGGTACCAATGTAGGAAGAAGCAGATGACTTTAGGAAATGATCCTCAAGGAATTACTTGGGGGAAAAGTATCTGGACTTAGCCCTCTCAGTGTTCCCAGCCGTGGGATAGCATTGTTTGAAAACAGACAAAACAACACCAACTTCCTGGGACTGAAATCCTTTGTATGTGTTGTTGTTTGCAGTGCATGCCAAGACATTCATGAGCACCAGAGCCAAGCTGGCGAGCTAATTAAATATATATGTGTATGTGTTTAAAACAGCCTAATAAGGAGCGTTGGAAATCTTCAAGATGAGCGAATATCTTATAACTTCTTCCGCAGGTGCGAGGATAGCTACAAGCCATGGACTTTCTGTCCTGCTTCTTGTTTGTGGCTTTGTGAAGGGTGCTTTGCTTTAATCTAAAGTGCTGACTTTTTTCCAATATCACTTTCTCTTCTTAAAGCAAAGAGCAAATGGCCTGTAAAATCTACGGAGCGGACAGCAAAGTTGACCCTAAACTCCAAGCACCACCCTGCACCCACTGTACTCTAATTCACTACACAAGGAGCGCCTGCTTCGGAAGCATAAATGAAGAGGCTATCGCACGCTTTGTTGATCACATTTTCTTTGGCAAAACACTGATCTTTTATTTTAAGAGAATTAGTGTGAAGTGATAGGACATTTTGTAATAGCAAGATCTATTTTTTTCCCTTTTCTTTCGGCGACTAGAGTCACTCACTGACTGCTCAAGGGTTGGCCTGAATGTCATCGGGATAGGGAATATTTACTATGGATACCACTGATTTCCTACTAAAGGACCCAGTAGCTTCAGGAAGCAAAGAGAGATCAAAAGGCTACATCATCAAACAAAACCCCCTTTCAGGGGCAAGAACAAAACTATCAACACTGCAAGTCAACAGGAAGGACATTACTTTAAATAAGGAATGACACGAGAAAGAATTTTTTTTTGTTTGTTTTCCACTTTTTTCTTGGATTTTTCTTCTTTTTCTTGATTACAGTTCTTATTCAATGGTGGCAAAGTGCTGGTTATGGCCAATCTCCATCAATCCTAGGAGGTTTATAGAAATACATTTTGAGTGTTCTATATTTCAATGTATTTTAATTCATTTTGCAATTCCTGTATATGCAAATCTGACAAATTCTGTAAATTGCTTATAGTATCTGTGCTATAACTTCAAAGTAGATGTACTGCGACCCTCATGCAAGCTGATTTTTATCATTATATATATAAATATATACTTAAGAATATCTATGTGTTGGGCCACTGACCAACTTATTTTGACAAAGCATTTGTTTTCCGTTGATGATTCATATACTGCGTGGATTTTGTAACACATTGGTTCACTTCCACAGGTCTGACAGCTGCAGACGACCTCTGTTGTCCTCTGCTTCATTCTGGAAAGTGCGTATTCAAAACTGTATCAGTCTGAATTAATTTTGCTATGTCTGTGCTAAGTTGGAATTTGCTGTGTTCCTTTATACATGGTGTTTACTGAGGTTTGAGAGTCTCTTGACTCTGAAGAATGTACACTCGCTGGTTTTGACAGCTGTTTCTGTATTATTATCATTATTACTCTTGTCGAAAAGAAATGTTGCTTCTAGAAAATTTGTCTTCGAGGTGAATGTGGGGGAGGTGAAGCACTCACCGTAATTCCCTAAATTCGTGTTAGAGCATCTCTTGCTTTGGCTAAAAACGCTGCTTCCTTTGACCTTTATGAAATTCCGTACCTTTGTCATTCTGTTCTTTGCTGCTAATTATATTTTAATGTCTCCTAATTAAAAATTAAAATTTGGTTGTTGGCTAAATACAATACGCAAAAGACGGCGGCAGGTCCTCAACTACAGAAGATTAATGTGTTCAGTTTTCACTGGTTAAGTGAATTATAATTTTAAATATTCCATTTTTATTTTTGGCTTTATGATAATTCAGACTATTTTATTTTGAACCTGTTTTCTACTCTGGAAAAGAAAGATAGGCAGAACTCTTAAAGTGTTCCCTGTACATTATGGAATAGATACAGCTTGAGAGATAAATGACCTAAGTTTTCCTTCCAGAGAGATTCTTCCATTTTCTCTCATTACAAAACCCGAAGAACAGCCACGTGGGGCCATCAGCTCCCAGCCTAAGGTCCTAGAACCCGAAGCTTGAAGGCAGTCAGTACCTCTGCTTTTCAAAGGTAAATGCATTCATTTTCTCTGATTCAGTTATAAGCAAGTGTATATTTTCATAATATTCCTGACATTACCTGAGGAATAATATTTCATGCTAAATCTTTTATTGCCATTTTTCTCATTCAATTGGTTTACTATTTCACTTTAATGAGAAAAATATAATAAAGGTTTTGATTGCGCTATTTTATTAACCTAGAAATGTATTTTCTTTCAAAGCCTAATACTTAAAAATGCATAAAGTGATGGTAAGATAAACATCATCTATTAAGTTTATCTGAGGCTTAAAATCTGCATTCATTAAAGCGTAAGTAAGTATACTGTTTTAAATTCAGTCAAGTTGGGAAAAATCTACACGTGATGTAATTTGACTCAAAATTTTGGTCATGAGATTGGCCATTACTAAAGCAACACAGACTTGTACCTGTATCAGCGAGGTTTACCATGCTCATAATCAAAGATGTATGCTTGTTCGGGATGAACTTACTAGGATCATTCTCTCAGTGTCCAAAATAGTGAAGATTTATCTGTCACTGTGCCACCAAGAGTCCAACTCACTGGCCACTTTGAGAAAGAACATGGTGCATGATTTGCCTCAAACTGAAGAAGTTGATATAGAACCTTAAAAATGGGAACAGAAACTAAAACAAATTAAGGAGCCCTTTCAGAGATTTTAACCTTACTTTTCGTCTCTAGAACTGTAACTTTGTAAATAAACATGACTATGAATATGAATAAAGATTTAACAATAAGTGATCAGACATTCTCAAACCTTGTTTCCAAGGTTATATAATGTTTATCATAAGAGAGAATCCTAAAATATTAAAATTGTTTACTTGAATTTAAGTTGAATGATTTTGTTCTTTCTTAAAGACTTAAAAATTGCTTGTAAATGAAAACACATGAGGGTAAAATATAAAAAGATAAAAATTTTTTAAAGCAGAAGCTGCTAATTGGGGTTCGTAAATAAGCTTTGTGGAGTTCATGAACTCACTGAAATTCTATGTATATTTCTGCATATCTATTTTATGGAGATGGTCCTACATATGGCCAATCAATTCATTGATTCTAAGTGATTTTATTATAATTTCTGGACTAAAAGAAGATTGTTTAGATGATTTTGAGCACCTAAGAAGACCTGATAATTATAATTTCGAACTGGTTTGCCTTAACGTTCTTGAATATAATTTAAGAAGGTACACATGTGGGTGCTTGTGGGGGCGGGTCAAAGAAAACACATTTTTAAGTTCCGAAAAAAAAAAAATGGTCGCAATTTGATATAAACAGCATGGACTAATGATATCAGATGATGTTGGTTGAATTTTCAGGACTAGTAATGGAATTTTGCAATGGATACATAGATTCCATTCGAAGAAGTGGTTCTATTATTTATCCTATATTTTTTTAAAGCGAAAATATTAAACATAACTTAGTTTGTATGTGAAAAAATAAGTGCAGGAGGTAAGTTAACCTGTCTAAGATAAAATAGTAAACTCTGATTATTGTATTTTGGAGTTAAGACTATGAAGCCAAAAAATACGTGTGCACATAATTTCAAATATAAGGCCCAGGTAATTTTATTTTCAGAACTACTCATTAATTAAGGGAGCACTCAGTGTTTTAGGAGTGTGAAGACTTCAGGGTTTCAGAAATGAAATAGATAAGCCTCTTCCATAGATCTAGGGAGAGACAGACAGTAAACATTCCAAAGCAAGAACATGTAAAGTATTGAGAAATTCTTAAGAAAGCCAATAGGATGATATACAGGAGTGTGACTAGGAGGTCAGAGGAGGCTGCTCTGAGGAGGTGACATTTATGCAAATCTGAATAATAGTAAGCCGGGCAAGAGATCTGGGAGCATAGCCTTCCAGGGAGAGGGAAGAATTTGTGCAAAACCCCAGAGGTGAAGTCCATCTAGGCTTGCTCAAAGACGAGAAAGAAGACAAGAGCATTAAGTGTGGGGAGAGAGGCAAGAGGCAGGATTATCAGACAAGGGCACCTCGGACAAGTCCCCGCCAAGGAAAGAGCACAGGACGGGGCAGGAGCGTGTGAAAATTCCAACGTGAACAACTGTTCCAAAATCAGGATGGAGGCTCTCTCCCCAGCCTCACCTCTTCTGGTGCGTAATGAACTTGTTAGCAAGACTCCTAGGGGCGCAGCATTGAGTCTTCCACCCAGGCTGCCCCTTTGTATTGACATGACAGGGATTTAGGAGGCACCAGAGACTGTCATTTGACTGTCTAGGGCTAATTTCCAACTGATCATTTTGAGGAGCAAAAGGGAAGAGTGAAAGATGAGGACCGCTTTGAGTGGAGGTGGCACTGAACTTGATGCAGTAACTACAAATGCAATTTAAAATAAAAGCATGAGTATGTAAATTGCAAGGACAGGTGTACAGAAAGAAGAGACTGACTCCTAGACAGGTGCTGGCAAAGCAGTGTAATTAAAAAGGCAAGGAGGAAAGGGAGCTGCCACATGTACACCGCCCGTACACACACACACACAACACACGTTATCAGACATTCAAAAAATGAGATCTTACAATACGAACCCCAGAGGACCGTGGATTCCAGTATTGTCAGGGGAGAAATAGTGTGATAAAATCATTTCATACTTAGTTATGTTTTCATTGTTAAAGAAATAGACCATTTTGAGGTAGTTAAAGCTCAGAGAATAGCATGTATGTAGTCTTCTTGAAATATACATTGGCTTTATGCTCCAGCGGAGATAGGAATCAAAGGTGAGGCTGAAAATAAATAGGCGTAATATAAACTGTCCCCCAGATTGTGTTAAATCTAAAGAATGGTTCAGTATTTTATTGTATCTCACTGTATGTGAAAAGAAACAAAACAATACCTACCCTTATTTTGTATATGCAGTGCATTATAATATTTTCTATTTTGTTCTGTTTCTTTTTTTGTTGATGCTTGACACAAAACATTAAATTGGTTTTGCAATCTACAATTTGAAATAAAAATCACAGATGTATTTATTCCAAGATAGACTACCAGTAGCAAACATAATTAAATGAGAATATATCACAGAAAACGATAACTTGAATTCTACACGCTTACTGTGTTATTAAAAACTAGGAAGTCAGAAATGATCCAAAGAAGAAAAAGAATGTATTATTTGTCCCCTGCTAAAAGTGGTTGTGACTCTCGTTGGCACTGGGAGGTGGTGGGGCTGCTTTTCATGTCTGTGGTTTTTGTGTGTTGTTTTGGGTTATTGTCTTTCTTTTCTGCTTTATCATCCTCTGAACTCCCTTCCTATTTTGAGTTATCCCCAACCCCTAGTGACAGCTCATGAGGTCTTCTAGAAGACATTTCCTTCTTCAAAGCTTGAGAAATGCACTGGAGAGTAGCATGGCAGCCCATGGGTCCATCCATGCTGTCCCCAGTACCCAGAGAGCGAGCAGAGGACTTTGCAGCGGTGCTGAGTAATCACTGCTCTGCAAGTTTGAATGATGCATGGCCCATGGGGTTTCTAGGGAGAAAAGGGAAGGACCACCTTCTTGAAGACACACTTGATTTGTATGACCTCATAAGAATGGTTCTCCAGTTCTTGAAAGCAGAGTTTTTGGCCATCACAATAAAGTCACACCCCCAATCCAAACCCACCAGCAGAGTTCATAAACCCAGAGCACCATCACTGAAGAGTCCACTGGCCCCAACGATAGTTTTCCCTGTGTGTACTGGGAGTATTACTCTCAGCCTCCCACAAAGAGAGGCCCTTTGGAGAATATCAGAGAAAAAGAAATACACCTCCCTGTGTTATCAGACAATGGTTCAGAACTAATGCTACATCTTGGGGTCACTAGGGTGCCTTAGTCAAAGACTTAAGGGGGCAGGTGATTAATAGAATACTTTGCGTCCTTAAGAACTATGGAACCACTATAACACATGTAACACTTCTGCAGCCTCTAATAATACAGTTGAAAGGTGTACCTTAAAGATGGAAGAAAATCGAAAGGTATTCCTTAAAGCTAGAAGAAAGTCTGTGTTGGTTCTCTGTCCTGTAAATGCTATAATTTTATGATGGGCCTGGGAATTTCTCCTCTATACCAAAATAGTCAGTAAAAAACGTCTTGTCCCTGGAGGAAACGTGGATCTCCCTCTTTCTTTGGTAGTACCCAGGGCAGTGGAGTCCTCACTCTGGGCCATCAGAGGCTTGCTTCTAGGCTAAGCACAGTGGTTGCTGCTGGTCCTCATGTGGTCTACTTACTGGAGCAAATTAGCACAGTTCGTGGCTCCTGTCCTATAGTCCACAGTTTGGTAATTTTCTACCTTATTGCAGTTATAATTGTAAAAAGAGGTGCCTGGCTTGTTTTTTTGTTGTTTTCTATTTTTTTTTTTTAACCTGGGAGGCATGGAAGTACCTTTACGTTATAATTTTGCCTCCAGGTTACATTGACTTTCCAGATCTGAGCCGCAATTGAGTCAGTCTGACCATCCCCTAGGATGTACTATTGATAAGATCTAGAGATCAGGAAGAAACAGCACATTAGAGGCCTTTCTGTATTTATATACATGCTCCACAGGATGGAAAAACTTTATAAAATACATGAAGCCATGGATGGCTCCAGAGATATCTTTAAACATTCGAGGAAGTAACAATTCCAGTCTTTCACCTACTATTGCAGTCAGTAGAAAGACAAGGAATGCTCTCCAATACATTTTATAAGGCAAGCATTACCTTGCTAGAAGGTCTGACAATTACAGTGTGAGAGAAAATGCCATTACAGGTTAACCTAACTCATGGATGTAGTTGCAAAAATCATCCACGGAATAATGGCAAAACAAACCCAGCAATATATAATATATCACGTGAAATATACATGGTTTGTTCTAGGACTTCAAAGTTGGAAAAACCAACAATAAAATGTTCAACAAGCCACCGCTGGGCGCGGTGGCTCAAGCCTGTAATCCCAGCACTTTGGGAGGCCGAGGCGGGTGGATCACGAGGTCAAGAGATCGAGACCATCCTGGTGAACATGGTGAAACCCCGTCTCTACTAAAAACACAAAACATTAGCTGGGCATGGTGGTGCGTGCCTGTAATCCCAGCTACTCAGGAGGCTGAGGCAGGAGAATTGCCTGAACCCAGGAGGCGGAGGTTGCGGTGAGCCGAGATCGCGCCATTGCACTCCAGCCTGGGTAACAAGAGCGAAACTCCGTCTCAAAAAAAAAAAAAAGAAAAAAGAAAAAGAAAAAAAAAAAATGTTCAACAGTCTATATTGCATTTCCCCAGAAACAGACACAAGACAAGAATTTGAGTTGAATCAATTTATTTAGGAATTTCAGGAACCACCAGTAGAAGAGGAGAAAATAAGATTAAAAAAAAAAACATTAACAGAATGTGTTATCAAACTAGCTACCACTGCAAGCAAAAGGAGTTTAATCCCGCAGAGGTTTCAGGCAGCATGAAATACACATTTCAGGGTGATCCCCAGCCAAAGGAGAAGCCGAAATATATAAATACCAGCTCCTCTCAGTCATTAGTTGTGGGTGCCGGCCCTGGCAGGGAAAAAAGAAAGTTAGGGGTTGATACCCAGGCACTTCAAGCCTGCTTTGTGCAGAGAGCGAACAGCCTTCTGCAGCTTCCAGGACAGTCTTCAGGAGGAGAACTGCAGATGGTGGCAGCTGGAGACTTGCTTGAACATATTGACGTGCTCAGGCAGATATGGTCACAAAAGTTGTGCACTACACAAAAGTTGTGTACTACAGCAACCATTCACAGCATGAAAGAAAAAAGCATCCATAGATCTCATTAGATGAGGGAAAGGCACTTGATGAAGTTCAATATCCATTCATGACTAGAAAACTATAGGAATAGAAAAAAATCCATCTTTACCCTGGTAAGGGTATTTGTAAAAAATTTTAGCAAACATTATTCTTAATTATGACACATGGGATATATTTTCTTTTATAATCAGAAATGAGGAACAAGACAATGGTGCCCATGACCCCACATCTATCTCCCATGCAAAACTGTTCTTAGAAGCATTTTACTAATCTACCATTGGGAAGAACACAAATGACCATGAATATATAAGCAAGTGGTATGTTCACAAAAAGGAAGACTGGGCGGTAAAGAAAATAAACATATTAGGGCTATTTACAACATTATGAATGAATAATCGATGAACAATTTGAAAAAAAAAACTAGCAAAATAAAATCCAAGTGAGAAAAGTGTAAACGATAGTACAGCACCTAAATTTTAATGAGCAAAGATTCAACATCAAAAAATATAAAACTAAGGGTAAAAAAAGCAACATGCATAATTGTCAAAAATCAGTATTTTCACATCTTAATTTTAAAAATCTTATTTTGGTAGAGAAAAATAACTCGGGAATTTAAAATTTGAGAAAATCATAATTTTTCAAGAAAAAAGAAAAAAGCCCATACATTGAAATCTTCAGCCTCAGTAAAAATCAAAGAAAGAAATTACATTAAGACCATGACAGACTAAATATGCATGTACCATCAATTCATCAATTGAAATTCTAATTCTAAAGTGAGGGTATTTGGAGCTGAAGCCTTTGGGAAATAAATGAGGTCATAGGGGTGGAGTCTGTTAAATGGTATTCTTGCTCTTATCAAAGAGAACCAGAGAGCTGCCTCTTTCTTTTCTACCGTGTAAGGACACAGTGAGAAGGCAGCCGACTATGAACCTATGAACCAGAAGCAGACCCTCAGCAAATCTGCAAACTTCCCGGCCTGCAGAACTGTGGGAAGTGTTTGTTAAGTCACCTAGCCTATGGTATTCTTATTTTCACAGCCTGAACAGACTAAAACGAAGAGTAATTAATGCTTTGTGCCTATAAAACTGAATTTGAGAAAAATGGATGCTCTTAAAGATTTTATTTCCAAACAAGAAAGAAATTGTATAAATTATGTTACCAACCTGAAGAGGTAACAATTGCCATTTAAGTGAACCACAGGATAAGAAGAAATAATAAAGAAAAAAATAATGAACTGTATAATGGAAAAACTTTCAAGAACAGATATGAGAAAGTTGTGGGACATGATAGCAATGTAAGTACAACTCTGGGTGATAAATTCAAGAAAAAATGGAAGAAAAACTTTTAAGACTTATAAGAAGATATGAAACATGAAAAATTACACAAGAATGTAAGTTACATGTCATGATACTCTCCAGCATTTTCAGTGGCATGGAAACCTCAAAACAGCAGGGCGTAATCTCCACTTTCAGTTCAATGACACTGTTGATTTCACCAGGTAGAGGCATGCTTCCTGGGGAACTGAAGCTAGTAGAGCTTGATGAAGGAAGAAGATTAAAAAAAAAAAAAAAATCTGTGAGTGAGAAGTCTTGTGTAACAGTGGAGGAAACACTCCCACTTGGTCCTTGATTTCTAGACTCATGTATTCAAGCCTTGGAAAAGCCAGCATCCCATATCAGATGCTGATTCAAATCATATACTATTTTTAGGACAGTGCTTCTTTTTTCTGGATGTTGGTTCCAACTAGGACATAAGTAAGTCTTCCCAAGGCCGGGCCACTTGTTTCATCAGGTTAGCTGCTTCTGGGGGAGAGGGAGGCTGGGTGTAGCACGGTGAGTCCTCTGGGCATGAGTCCTTTGACACATGTCCTCTGTCCAATAAGCACATTAATCAGAGCCAATGTTGGGACGATAGTGCTGGCAAAAGCATGACCATAGAGAGGAAAACCCACATGCAGAAAGCCTGTGTGTTCCCAAGCAAAGGGCCACTCCCTCCAGGATGGAGAGAATCCAACGTCACCAACGGAATACCAGAGCATCCTGGGAATGCTGCCATGGTCCCAGCCTGGGTCTCTATCAGCAAGTTGGTCACTTGATAGTTGCAGCAACTGAAGCAGCCCCCGTAGGGGAACCCCAGCCATTGAGCCCATGTGTATTATTCATTTAACATAAGGTGAAATAAGGTAAGACAGTACAAGATCTAGCCTTGTAAGATAAGATGAAACAAGG